TACTTTTCAACGGAAAATTCGGAATTTTTGTAATCTTTATTTCGGAAATTTTATTCAACGGATAATTTGTAATATTCTTTTCGGAAATTTTAGTTATTGTTCGGTTGTGCAAATGATGTGCGAGTGACACTGGAAAAACTGCATTCGAAGAATTTTTTAATTCAAGATCTGACGATTTTTACAAGCTTGGTACGATGAATTTTAAGTTTACTTCGAGAATTTATTAAATTTCGGAAAATTATATTTTCAAAAATTCAAAAATTTGAGCTAATCGTTGAGAAACATGCGCAGAACAGTGCAAAAATTTTTCTGATTAAATATATTATTTTGTTGAGAAAATTAAGTGTGTTTAAATCTTCAAGAATCTTTAAAAAATGATCATTTTAACGAAACTTCATTATTTGGTAAATCATTTTCTCCAAGAATGATTGCACAAATCCTGATTAATATCTTCAAAGTACCCCAAGCTGTCCATGTAACTGGATTCATATCAGATTCAGTCGCACGCAAGTTGCACGGTTCGAAGGCCACGGGGTCACGTGTCGCGCCAACAAGAAGCAGGACATTTTTATTCCTCCACCCTCACCTTTCACCTTTTCTGAAACTCTCTCCCCTCGGCATATGTGCACGCGTGAATGCGATCTACGCATTGGATTTCACGTGAATCGTGACCCCTCCACGAATTTACCAGGCTGGATTTATCGCTGGAGAAAAAGAGGCTCGCAGGTTATTCTCGTAATCCTTTGCCCGTGGTCCACGATGCCGGCCCCTTTGATGCGTGGGCGTGGGCCGCGCAAATCGAATCGGTCGCCGTCTCATCACGTTCCGTCCAAATCACAGCTATTCCGCGTAACCGAGTCTGATTATAATTTATACCGTTTTTTTATTCGCCCGGCTTCCGTCGTCTGATCACCGCTCCCGACCATCCGGACACCACCCCTTTTAAATGATTGCACGGTAATGCGTTGGATTAAAACGAAATCGCCTTCTATACGAAGCGACAGAGACTGTGATAATTTTTGCAATTTCGCTGAAAGTTAGTTTTTTCAACGATACGACGCTTTTCAGACGTTAACTTTGTAGCTTTTCAACGGGGTCAATGTTTCCGAGTGCTTCAACATCTGTGAAACTTTTAGCGCAGAGGTGAAAAGCTGAAGGATGTAAAGATACTTTTTTGACGAATGAAAGAAAAATAATTTCATTCCAATGGGAATAATGATGATGATAATATTGATAAACGAATGATAACATGAAGAGCAAGAAATTCAGTTGCCATATAAAAAATTGAACCAAAATTTCTATTATAATATTCAATGTGTTGAATAAAAGAAAATTGAATTCCTAATAAAATAGTCAAAATTAATTTTTTCTTGAAGCTTATAAAACTGTTACTTAATAAATTATAATACAGTCAATCCTGATGAAATAAATGAAAAATTGAACCAAAAATTCTGTCCTTAATAGACAACGATGCTCTCTTATATTCAATGTATGTACATATTGAATAAAAGAAAAATGAATTCCTAATAAAACAGTCAAGATTTATATTTTCCTTACAGTCAATCCTGACGAAATGAAAATAAAGTTAGATAAATATTACTCTAGCTTTTCGATGTTATCTATGCACGATAAGGTGTTTAATTGAACGTGCAACGAAAAATTGAACAGATCAGTTTGTTACATTCTATCCAGCATGCTCCGCAAGTTTCGTAATGTGTATACACGTTTAATTCTTGTAACGTACACGGTGTCTTACGAATAGCAGGAACGTGTGCAATGAATCGTGCAGCGCGTGCAGCTCGTGGAAAGGATATTCCATAGAAATCTGGGTTATTCCGCGCATCCGACGTTGATTATAATTTATTCCGGTCCCCAGCAGAAACACTTCCGTCGTCGGCGAAATAGTCCCTATCTTCGAGATCGTGCCACGATATATCACAAGTCGTGATTTCACCGCGCGCAGGATGTAGATCTCTGTTAATGTTTACCCGTGCACCGTATATCTCCTCCAAACTGAGATTAATATTGTTTGAAACACACAAGAGACATCGTTTTGCTTCTGTAATAACCCCAGACGAAAAATGTCATCTTCGTAAGATTTTAATTAATTCGAAAACAGTATTTTTTTTAGATTTTGAAATTATTTACTCGAGAGAATTTGGATTTTTATATAGAGACTGTAATCGATTACACACACCGGTCTCTATTAATACGAAATACAATAGCGAAGTTTCGTGGTAGAGTTACCTCCAAGCAACTTTCTAAAGAAAGGCTTTTCACATAATGGATGCGATACCGCAAGGGAACATCTCGAATTCTGGTAAATACTTTGTGAAGGGTTAAAGTTCGTAGACATGGTACAAAAGTTACTTTACAGGAAATTGGTATCAGAAATTGTGTATTAATGTGAAAGTTAATTGAAGCATAATTCAATTGTTGTCTTTTCGAAAACTAACGAAAAAAGGGTTAAGAAAATATTTTTAGATTTCTTAAAAAATAAAGAGTAAAATACTTTATTCGAAGTATTTGAGACACTATCACTGAGCAAAAGTGTCTTTCCTCTATGGAAGGGTTAATTTACCCCCTTTTGCACCAAATCGTACAAAAATCCACCTATCTAACACATACCTATAATTACATTAAACACCATTACTATGTCACAAAGCTATTTATTAATGAATGAAAATATAATGAGAGGACATCAACCCATGAAATTTCAGAAAAATTGGAGGAAAAGAAGAAACATGGTGCAAGTACCAGCATCCTCATAACTTAAGTCTGTATCGTCGGACCTGCCTCTTCCTTGCACCGATCCGTCAAACTCTCAAAATCCTTCGTTCATTCAACGCTACCTAATACCTAATTTCAGCAAATTACGGGAGCAACCTCCTCCTTGCAGCGGAGTCTCCAATTATTCCCAAGAGCTGGAGAATAATTTGGAAAAAAGGGGGGCAAGAGACGTGCACATGGCTGGTTTCCGCGTGCACGACCTACGAATTTACGAACATCCTGAACCACCACCGCTATCTTCCCTCTCCCCCATCGACATGTAGCGCATCCAGGCCGACACAAATACGAACATTTCGCTGTCGACACGCCGCGGGCATGTTTTCTCAGCTGGTGCCCTAACTCTCGATCTCGAACGATCCCTGCAAACCCTCCCTACCTCGCCTTCGTCTACCGCACAGCACAGATCCTGGTGGATCCTTTCAAGACACGGTCGGCTACCCACAAAGGATCTGCCCTTTCATACGCACGTTATTATACTCTTTACAGAATATCGTTCCACCTTCTCCCCTTTTGGGAAGGAAGAAGACGAAGAAGAAAAGAGAAGGACTTTTTCTCCCTCTCTATCTCTGTCTTTTGGTACGGTGACGTGCGTGTTGGTGTTTTACACGTGTATACATATAAGACGCCCACGCATTATGAACGGAGGGTTTTAAGGGCAGGGTGGACGTTTCGACGAAAGACTCGAGATTTTCTCGTTTAATTTGTTGTTATAGCTGCTTGAGACGCGCGGATCCAGCCATTCCCTTCGACCTACGATCCTCAAACATTCATTATGTTTTTCTGTAACACATCCAACGACGCGACTGGAATTGCGGCTTTGCGCCACCCTGTTTGCTCTGCACTCGCGGATCAAAGGTTCGTATTTCGCCGCGTTCACCAGCCGGCTCTAACCGTCTTTATTAATCGAGGGAAAATTGGAACGGATTAGGGAGGTGGGTTTGTGTGCGGTGGATGGTGCTGTGAGGTCTGGCTCATGTTTGAGAATGGAGGTTGAATGTAATGGGTAATTAATGTTGTGGTAGTCCTCGTGTGATGTTTATATTGTGACTTAAATGTAAGGAATTGTATATTGAGTCAATTATGAAATAAATGAAATTGTGCACAAAAATTGAAATTTTTGAAGATTACTATCCTTGCCATCATCAATTTTTAAGCAATTTTACTATGGTATTAAAAAATTTTCTATTTTGAGGATTAGAATTTTCGTCCTCGTAAATTTTAATAATTTTTACCGCGTTGAGTACACATTGGTACATTGAATTGTTTATTAAAATAGGAAGAGACAATTAGGAAAAGGATGAATTAGACACAAAAAGTTTTTAATTTTGAAGATCAGAAATTTGTCCTCATAAATTTACATAATTTTTGTCCCCACAAATTTAAATAACTTTTACTCTGTTGGGTACACATTGGTGTATTGCATTGTTTATTAAAATAGGAAGTGTCAATTATGGAACAGATGAACTACACCCAAAAATTTGTAATTTTGAAGATCAGAACTTTTGTCCTCGTGAATTTGTCGACTAACTTTAACCACATTGAGTGCACATTGGTGCCTTGCATTGAAGGAGTGAATTCTACAATTTTTCATTTTCACAAGTTTATTAAGTAATTTTTAAAATGTTAAATACACATCGATAGAATATTTCCTAATTTGAACGAACCGGAACAGAAAATATTTGACACTTCTAAACCGTTGAAACATTCAAGAGCACCCTTCCCAAGTGGCAAAGGCTTGGTACTAACGACCTCCTCGACATCTTTTCATCTGAAGAACGACGAAAACGACGAAGAATGCAACTCGAGCGAACAGAAATTGCACTCACGAAACTCAATTGAGCAATTGATCGCATCCTATCGACGGTTGCGTCACGGATTGCATCTGATCCGATTAGGATGCGGTATTATCGCGGTCCATTAGCGATTGTTTGTAAGAAAGAGCAAGTCAATCTTCGACGTTCGGCGAATCGTAAGGAATGCAGGCTCAGGCAAACTCGAAAACTTAGTGAACCGTTTACGAACATAGGCGGATCTCTTCTGTCTGATTTGGCACATTTACCTCTCCTATTGGCTCTGACAAAGCGTGCTGTTAGTTTTTCTCAAAGAGCGCTGCACTTGGGAAAATCACACGACGAATGAAAAAAAAAACAGAGAAACGACGTATCTCCTTTGCAAAGAAATTGTTCTTCGAGAAAAATGATCCTGAATTATCAGTATCTTCCTAAGTGATCTGTGAAAGTGCTGAAAAATGCGTGACGAGCTTCTCTGGAGGGAAACACTGGTCCCATGCATTCTAGAAGAAGCTGATTTCGTTCCTTTACAGCAGTTTTGAAATCTTCCTCTGAAATTGTACCGTCACGATCGAGGTCCAACTTCTTCATCAATAGATCTATCAAATCCTGTGGAACGATACACGTGAGTGCAAGAAGAATGGAAAGAAACATTCCAAGATTGAATATACTAAAATCATCGATGGAATGCAACTGTTCAATGGAATGTGCACTTTTCAACACCTTTACAGCTTCATCAGGATTCTCGTTGTTCTGTAGTTTAATCAAACACCCACGCATTATGGGAAATATGTGCTCCTTCTTCAACTTTTGAGTCCTCATATTGTCGTACACCTACGTGTTGAATCATAAAAATTCAAAATTCGCGATTTTGCAGATCAGAAAATCAGAAAAGCTGACTGAGGATAGTTACTTTGTAAGCAAAGTTGATCTTCTCGTCCAAATTTCCACGGAAGATGACCGAAAGACCCTCGATCCATTGATCGAAATGTATCTGAAATTTATTCGGTAATGTGAGTGTGATAGAACGTCTTCGAGTGTGTTTAGACTGGAGAGAT